ATATTTGAGGACATGACAAGCAGCATTTTTCACACTCCAGAGGCGCAGACTCCCAGGATCCCAATGCATCACTCTGGGAGCGTGGCCTCTCTGGCCAGAATTCCGGCTGTCTCACCACCCTCAGCGCTCCCCCTGCCTGGATCCGTGCCAAAAAGCACTTAGCCTTGAAATAAGTTCAATCATCTTCCTCCCAGCATCCCAGGATAACGTTTATCCTCTTTGCATTGTGTAATCCAAAGCATCAAAACAGTTCAGCAATGTATTGTGTGGCATCATGCAGCTCATTAGCAGGCAAAATTAATACCCGAGCTGTAGGAAACCCCATAATCCCAGCAGGCTGTGGGAAATGCTGGGAGCTGGCAGGGGAACAGCAGCAGGAGGAGAAAAACAGCATTGAAGGGGCTACTGAGGGAGGGAACACTGGGAAGACAAAGTGGGGATGGGATGGGATGGGGTATGTCAGGGCAGTGGGTCCCTGGCCAGGTAATAATTGACATAGATTTAATGCATTTCAGAAGGCTACTAATAATCTCTTTTAAGAAACCCATACTTTTATAACCTAGTTTGTTACAGGTGGACTTAATTGGTCCTTTACTTAAAACACCATCACCATTGGCCAATTAAGAAACCACCCTTTGGTAAACAAATCTCCATAGCACATTCCACATGTGCACAACAACAGGTGCAGCAGGTTAAGATGAGAATTGTTTCTCATTCTTTTCTCTGATCTTCTCACAGCCTTCCCCAGAAAGGCCTGGGAAAGTTGTGTTTCTCTCTGTGGCCAGAGAGCTGCTGCCCCAGGGGATGGGATGGGGTTGAGGATGAGGTGCCCAGCCCTTGGGGACACAGGGCAATAAACCCAGAACTAAATCAGAAAAAGCTTCACTGTGGGGCAGCGCTTCTCAGGCACATGTGGGGGTTTTTCCCTCCTTGCTGCAAGCCATGGGCAGAGTTCAATAAAAAATTCATGGGAATCATCCCAGGGTGTTTTGTGGCCAGAAGGGAAGCCGTGACATCCTAAGCAGCAAATGAGCCTGTGTTTGAGGGATGCAGGAGGGCAGCTGGGGTCAGCACCTCCTGCCATGGTTTGCAGTCAGAACAATCTTGTGGTGCCACCAGAGGCAGCCAATCTGTTTTGTTGTTGTTATTTTGGGAGTTTTTTGTTTGTTTTTTTTTTCTGTTTTTTTTTTTTTTTGGTGGAAAAGTTGTATTCCCCTGTATTGCTCCCTAGATCACAAACAAAGAGTTTACAAATGATTTAATAAAATTAACCTCCCACTGCAGTCAGCACAGAAAGATGTTCCATGGGAAATACATTATGGACACAAATTCCTAAATATTTTCACCACTGCAGTTGTTCCACTCTTAGAAAATGCCACCTCAATTTTTGGGAAGTAAGGTGCCCCAGCTTTTGAAACAGGGATAGCATCACCCAATGATGGCCTGGAGGTATGGGCAAGCAAAACTTGAAGCAGGTGTCAAATCTTCTAATTCCACCTAGTTTTCAATTATTTACTTTTATCATTTATATTTCCCCCTTTTTTGTGTGTGTCTGTGACTGGGGAGTCACCCCAGCACAATTCCCAGCACATGGATGGGCAGAACACAGCCATGCTCTGAATTCCAGAATTCCACAAGCAGAAGGAAATGAGCTCCTGGATGTTCTTGGGATCAAAAGGGAGAGGAATTTCTCCTCCTGCTCTCCTGGCCCTGTGCAGTCCTGAGCTCCCAAATCAGTTGTGACACTCAGCAAAAGCTCTGCAGAAGGAAATAATCTGTATTTTTCTGCTCTATTGGGTTCTGCAGGGCTGCTGAGTTTCCTTGGTTCACAGAACAACCAAGCACCAGGGAAGGAAAATAGAAAGGGGAGGAGTACAAAGTGAGGAGCAGGGAGGAAAATCCCCCACAAGGGACACAAAACCACTGCTCCAGTGGATGCTGAGTCCTGCTGGAGAGCCCCAGATATTCCAGAAAAACCAACCAAACTCCCTGGATTTCAGGAGCTGCTTCAATCACAGCTCCCTTGACCACTGCACCACTCCAGGAACTCTCACTGCCCCTGAATACAACACAGAATTCCCTGTATTTCCTGTATTTCTGTGATACACTTTCTTTATTTTCCAGTGCTCTCCAGCCTGGCAAGGAGGAGCTGATCCCAGTTTCCCAGTCAGAGCCCCACCTTTGGCACTGGGGTGAGCAGGTCCAGCCCAGCACCCACCAGGAATCAGCTGGGGCCCAAGACTGGGGCTCATTTCTATATTCTGTCTTTTCCAAACTTCCACATCTCCCATCACTTCCCTGCCTTTGCTGTGCTACAGAATCATGGAATCCTTCAGGTTGGAAAAGGCCTCTAAAATCAGCAAATCCAACCATCAGCCATGGCCTCAAGTGCCATTTCCACACATTTTTTGAACATTTCCAGGCATGCTGACACCCTGGGCAGCCCATTCCAATGTTCCCCAAGCCTTTCCATGAAAAAACTCTTCTTATATCCAACCTAAGCCTCCCCTGGCACAACTTGAGGCCATTTCCTCTCATCCTGTCCCATGATTCCAGAAGAATCAGCAGAGAGGGAAGGTTGTTTGCTCTTTATTTCAACACAGGTTTCATCTCTTGTTGCACATTTTGGGAGCAGGTGATTCTGGGCATCCCAACAGGGTCAGTTTTCCAAGATTTCCTCAAACAGGCAAACCCAGGAGCCAAACCCACTCATAACTGGTATCTGCTCAGTGTTGATATGGATTCACAAATAATTCCAGAAAAGCAGAAAATTCCATCAAGATTTATGGCAAAACTCTCACAATTTAAGAAGAAGCTGAATAATTTGTTGTCATTTTTGATTTAGGCAGGGTTGGACAGGCTTGGAGCAGGAACTGGAGCTGATGCTGTCCCTGGGATGTGGTGGCTTCAGGTCCTTGAGTGAAGCTCTGTCCCATGCAAGTCAACTTCTCCATGTCTTTCTCCATGCAGAAACCCAGGCAAACAATAACTACAAATTAAATTTCTCTTTTTTTTTTCCTTTTTTTTTTCCCATGGTGCTGTCTGGGCTTTTGGTTGGCTGCAGAGCACATTGCCAACAGTCTCTGCTTTCTGACTGAAGAGGGTTTTCCTTTTTTCTGGTGTCTTCTATCACTCTTCCACTTGGATATAGAATCATGGAATGGTCTGGGTTTCAAAGGACCTTAAAGCCCACCCAGTGCCACCCCTGCCATGGCAGGGACACCTCCCACTGTGCCAGGTGCTCCCAGCCCTGTCCAGCCTGGCCTTGGGCACTGCCCCAGCTGCTCTGGGCCTCCCCACCCTCACTGGGAAGGATTTTTATCCATTTTATATTTTTTTCCTTCCCTGCTCAGCAGCTCCAAGCCCACCAGGAGCCCTGTGCTCCACACCTGTGCTGTGATGTTTATTTCCTCAGCCTCTCCCCAGGAATTATTCCAGGCAAGGACGTCAAACCACTCTGTGAAACAGAAATGAAAGGCTCCCTTCTGCGAGGAAGATTTTCTCATCCTCACCACTAACAAAGGGAATCCTGCCCAGAGCTGTTTTTATGAGGAGATACACATTTATATAATATTCATATTTTGCCCCAAGCAACAAGAGGCTTTCAGGAGAGTCAGACAGAGGTCTCCAGCTCCTGCTCACCAAACCCCTTTGATTCCAGCACAAAGGAGCAGGAGCCTGCAGGATTTTGGGCTGGTTTCAATCTCACTGTGGAACAAGGGAAATGAGGCACCTAATGAACCACACTCAGCCTTGCTGGGGTGAGTCCTGAAAATCAGCCATCAGACAAAGCCTCTGATACACCAGGATGCCCTATAAATGGACTTGATCAATTATTAATGGCTTGGGTCAGTTATTGATCAGTTACAAATGGATTTGACCGGTTATTGATCAGTTATAAATGGATCTGACCAGTTATTGATCAGTTATAAATGGCTTTGATCAGCTACTGATTGTGATGATTATTCCTGCCCTGAAGGGTGTGACACAACCTCACCCACAGCCCTCTCCCCTCCTCAGACACCACTGCTCTGCAGCCCACAGCCTGTGCTTTGAGGAGGAAAATAGTAACAAAAAAATACAAATCAGCATTGATATGTTCTTTGGAAAACACTTTCCTTTCTCCAGCCACTCAAAAAAAGAAGAGGAAAGGTGCAGCACTGAAGGGCTTTTACCACACATCAGCAACAACTCACTTTTATTTCCCCTGCTGCCAAGAGGCAGGAAAAAAAATCCAGATTTTAACACATTTCTATGATCTCAATCACCTGCATGATCTAAGAAGAAACTCAGTGCAGAATGAGGTGCCAAAGTCTGAGAGCTTTATAGTCCTGGGGTGTGTTAATTCCAGATCACATCTCCCCAGATGCTGGGAATGTTCCAGCTTCAGACTTGGCACCTTGATTCCTGCAAAGGCCCAAACCCAAACCTCAGTTGCAACAAAGTCCAAAGCCCTGGCTGACCCCTGGTTTTGAACATCAAGGGACCAGCGTGTCCCCAAAATCCAGATATTGGCTCAAGCAGAGATCAAACAAACAAAACAAGTCAACAAAAAAATCAGTGCAAGAAAACAAAAAAACACCAAAAAAAAAATCCCAAACCTGAGATCTTTTAATTACCTTGAGTTTGAGCTTCCCCTTTCCCCAGGCTGCATCAGTGGCATTACCCACATTTCCATGTCCCACTCCAGCATTTTATTGGCACCAGCAGGTTCCTGGTGGCATTTCAAGGCAGCACAGAAATGTTGGCTGTACTGACCCAAATCAGTCTAATTCCACAAATGTGGGCTCAGAATCATCTCAGTGCAGGGTTTTCCACCAGCCTGTCCCCCCACCCTAGGGCTGTACAGAAATATTCCCCTGCAGGGAGAGGACAGGGTGGGATACGTGGGAAGGGGACACAGCAGGATGTGTCACCCATCTCTCTCAGTAATATCCCCCTAAAATCAACACTTCTTCCCTTTTAATATCCAGTGGGGACAGCAATTCAGAGTGCCTTACCCTGATAGGACACCCAGCACCAAGTTGAGCATGAAGAAAGAGCCAATGATGATGAGAGGGATGAAGTAAAGCCAATTCCAGGTGTTTCCTGCAGCGTCGTTCGTCTGGAAACAGAGGGAGAAGGGAGAGACAAACACAAGAGTTATTTCACTTGGAGAGAAAACACCCAGAAAAAACCCAGAACCTGCAGGGCAGAGGAGATTCCCCTTGGCATTCCACAGGAGTGCCCAGCACTGATGTCCTGGTCAGTCCTGCTGTGTTCAGCAGCTGCAATTCCAGCCAAAGAACTGATTGTCCCAACATCCACACCAAGGGTTTTCCTCAGCTCCAGTGGGGAGAGCCCTCTGCTGTCTCTGATGGGGGGACGGAGTTCACAGGTGACACCAGGCTGGGTGGGATGTGCATGTGCTGGAGGGCAGCAGGCCCTGCCCAGGGTCACACCATGGGGTCACACCATGGCCTGAGGGTCAGCAAGGGTCCTGTCCTTGGGTCACAGCTCCAGGCTGGGGCTGGAAAGCTGGGAAAGGCCATGGGGTGCTGTAACAGTGGCTGGACATGAGCCCAGGTGTGCCCAGGTGGGCAAGAGGCCAATGGCACCTGGGCTGTCCCAGCCATGGTGTGTCCAGCAGGACCAGAGCAGTGACCACCCCTGTGCTGGGGCACCTCAAATCCTGTCTCCAGTCCTGGGCTCCTCAAGAAGGACCTTGAGGGGCTGGAGCCCCAGGAGAGGCTGAGGGAACTGGGCAGGGGCTCAGCCTGGAGCAGAGGAGGCTCAGGGGGGCCCTTGTGGCTCTGCACAGCTCCTGACAGGAGGGCACAGCCAGGGGGGCCGGGCTGTGCTCCAGGGAACAGGGACAGGAGCAGAGGGAACGGCCTCAGGCTGGGCCAGGGGAGGTTTAGATTGGACATTAGGGAAAATTCCTTCATGGAAATGCTGCCCAGAGCAGTGGTGGAGTCCCATCCCTGAAGGGATTTAAAAGCAGTATAGGGGACATGGTGAGTTTAAAAGCAGTGCTGGGGGAATGATGACTTTAAAGGCCTTTTCCAACCTAAAACAATTCCTCAGTCCAGGCTGACCCTGCTGCAGGACCAAGCCCATTTTTAGGTGGCCTAACCCTGTGCAGGCTCCCTGCTCCTCCCTCCCCAGCTCCACATTTCCATCTCAATAGAGCCACTCCAGCAGGGAACCACAGCCTTCCCTAAAGCCAGGCTGCAGTTCAGCCCAGGATCTGCTCACACCCAGACAAGGAGTCTGCAAGAAACCCAGGATCTCTGGAATGCTGGAATTCCACATCTGCTCACTCAGCACCTCGGGCTCCTGCCAGCCAAACCCACCCTGAGCAGGCAGCAGTGGCAGATGAACAGGAGGGGAGGGTGGTGCAGTTTGTGACAAAGTTTCTGCATTCATCAGCCATGAGGGAGCTCTTTGGGGAAGTGCTGAACAGGAGAATGCCACATGGCCATTGACAGAATCCCAGTGCTGAGGAAAATGCAAATTCCTCTCTTGTGCGGGAAGAATGCAGCAATCTGAAGATCTGATGTTGGGTGGAAAGAAAAGGAGAAGGGGAGCAAAAAGGAAAGTAAAGACCTAAACACATTCTTCTCATCCTTCTCCCTCCTCCTGCAGAGGGTAAAAAACACCAGGAACCCTGGGCTCACCTCCCTGCCCAAAGGCAGAGCCTACAGAGAAGAGCTCAAACACCACCTGGCAAAAACAGCATTAATTCTGATATTGGTGCTTTAACTTATTATCTTATATATATCTTATATCTTATCTTATTATGACATATTATCTTTCTGATGCTTTCTGGTCACTCTTCCCAATCACATTCCCAAGAGTAATTTTGCTTGCAGGATTCACAGAAGGAAATGCTTTAAATTTGCTTTACCTCAGCCATGCATGTACCTGGTGCCACCTGAAAAGTCTCTGTGTAAGAAGTCACCCAAAAAACAGGCAAAACCTACATCACAGCATTTCTGACAGGTGATAACATTTATTGCACTGATACAAGTAAATGTTTGCATTTTCCTTGTCCTTTTGCAGAGGGTAAAAAAACCCAGGAACCCTGAGCTCAACTCCCTCCCCAAAAACTGCTTTCAAACACCAACTGGCAAAGACTGCTCATTCTAATTGATATTGGTGCCTTTAACTTATTATCTGTGCTGCTTTTGGCCAGTGTTCCCAATCATATTTCCAAGAATAATTTTGCTTGCAGGACTCAGAAAAGGAAGCACTTTCAATGTGTTTTACCTCAGCTGTGCATGTACCTGGTGCCACCTCAAAAGTCTCTGTATGAGAAGTCACCCAATGAAGAGCAAACCCCAAACTGTCAGAGTATTTCTCACAAGTGATTTATAACATTTATATATCAATGCAGGGAGCCCCCAGCCAGGGAATAATGTGCTCTGACTCCGTGATTCAGAAGGCTGAACAATTATTTATTAAGCTAGATTATATTACACTACATACTATACTCTATCCTCTACTATACTACTAAACTACACTAAAGAAAAACCCATGACCCTTTCCATACAGTCACAACACAGCTTTGACCCAACTGCTCAATCAGTCCAAACAACCATCAGCAGAGTCCAATTAACAAACTCTCTTCACTAAACAATCTCCATAACACATTCCACATGTGTTGAACAACAGGAGCAGCAAATAGAGATAAGAATTGTTTTCTCTTCTGTCTCTGAGCTTTCTCACTGCCTTCCTCACTGCTGTTCATCCAATGAACAGCAACCCCCAAACTGTCAGAGTATTTCTCACAGGTGATAACATTTATAACATTTATATATCAATGCAGGGAGCCCCCAGCCAGGGAATAATGTGTGCTGGCTCCATGATTCAGAAGGCTGAACAATTATTTATTAAGTTAGATTATATTGCACTACATACAATACTATATACTATACTACTAAACTATACTACACTAAACTGTACTATATTAAAGAAAAACCCATGACCCTTTCCATACAGTCACAACACAGCTTTGACCCAACTGCTCAATCAGTCCAAACAACCATCAGCAGAGTCCAATTAACAAACTCTCTTCACTAAACAATCTCCATAACACATTCCACATGTGCCAAACAAGAGGAGCAGCACATAGAGATAAGAATTTTCTCTTTCTGAGCTTTCTCACTGCCTTCCTCAGGAAAAATCCAGGAAGAGAGAATTATGTCTCTCTGTGTTGAAAGAGTATGTGAATACCACAATTTATATAGAACATTTATAGCTCTGACACAAGTAAATGCCCCCGAGGTTTGTTCATAGGGTGCATATCTGCGCAAATCCTTCCTCCAGGATCAAACATGAGACCAGCATCTCCCCAAATAGCAAACACCTCTCAGGAATGGCTGTGTCAGTTGATCAGTGACTCAGAGGAGAGGAATGGGCACTCAGCAACCTCACCACAATCCCCCTGCTCAAGGTGAGGGACAAATGGATCTGAGGAGAAACAGCCCAGAGCAGAAATGCAGGATGGCTCTGAGCTGCCCAATTAGGGTTTTGAAGGCCTTTGGAATAGCTGACATCCCACCCCAATTCTTCATTCCCTGGTTTGGCTTCCCATTCTTCTCTCTCTTTGCTTTCAGCTCTCTCCTTGCCCTGCATCTCTGCAGATGGGCTCAGAAGGAACAGGGAAACTCATCCTCAGTGCTTCCTTCCCAACATGAGGGATAAAGGAGCCAGTGATGATGAAGTAAAGCCAATTCCAGGTGTTGCCTGTGGCATCATTTGTCTGGAAACAGAGAAAAAGGAGGAGTGGGGAAGTGTCTGGGGCAATTTTATATTTAGGGTTTTATATGTTCTTCAGCTCTGATCTAGTCAATCAAACATCTCTGCTTGCAGCAAGCAGATCCCATCCAGGGAGGGCTCGATGTTCCCTTGCAGCTCAGGACATTCCATGGTTCTGTGAGGCTGGGAATGCTGTCAGCAGCCAAGGGGGGCTGCAGGAGGGAACAGATGGGAGAAGGGAAAAGCACAGAAACATGCAAAGGGAGTGCAGTGGGTTCACTGCTGACAAATGATCATTTATCATTTATTTCTCCATTTGAAGCCCAAACTTGGCGACAGAGCCACAATTCCATGCCATGATCAAAGCCCTTAAAAACGAAATGTGTTGAAATACAACCAATTACCCACCCTGCCCTGATCATCTGCTGGGTTACCTCCTGCTCAGGGCAGGGCAGGGGCTGGCTCTGTTTGCTCTGCCTCACTCACGAGGATCCAGGACAAACTCCCCTTTGGATATGGGGACAAACACCAGGCAAAAGTGGTGACAAAGTGCTCCTGAGAAAGCAGAGCCTCCTTGGATGTGCAGCACCTTTCCCAGGGCTCCCAAGTGTGACAGATAAGTAATGTCATGGTTGACTCTCACAATTAAAAGGCAAATATCCTGTATATATGTAAGGAGAAGTTTTATAGATTTATAGTTTTTGTTTTATGGATTTATAGGTTTTGTTTTATGGACTTATGTTTTATCACAATTAAAAGGTAAATATCATGTATATATGTTAGGAGAAGTTTTGTAGATTTATAGTTATGTTTTACCCCCCTTGTGTTGTTATCAGGGGTGCCCTGGGTTTAGGGACATTTGGGAGGGCTGGCTTGCTGCTATGGCCACAGCTGACCTCCAAAAAAGATGTCAGGAAGTGAATTCCACCACTGGAGAGTGAAGAAGGAGTCGATGGACAGAACTTTGGGGGGGCTAAAGGGTTAAAAGGTGAAGCCTCCATTGTGTGGGTGAGCACATGGTGGGAAAAATCCTCTGCTCCCCACGCTGTAATATTGTCTCTATTCAGTCTTCTGTTGTATTTTTTGATAAGGTTTTAATAAACCTTTTAAATGTGTTGGAAGTGACTCTCATTTCTCACACAAGTGAGCTGGAACCCAAGCACAGGGTACAGCCCCTGCTCTGCCACAGGGAGAGGCTTTAACCACTCAAAACCTGTTTGCTGCCAGGAAAACCAAACTCCTTCCCCCAGGGAAAGCCCCCAGAGTCTCACAGGCAGCTCTGTCTGCCCTGAGCCCTTCATCCACAGAGCCACTGAGCTCCAGGCTCACTCATTAAGCAGAAGGAGCCAAGAGATCAAATCA